TATGGCTGACTCTGAGAAGAATGGGAATCCCAGAAGATTTGATTGTGCTAATGTGAAACCTATACTTGGACCAAGAGGCAGTCGTCAGAACAGAGCAGGGAGACACTGGATAGTTCAAAATAAAAAAAGGGGTCTCTCAGGGGTGTATTTTGTCTCCATATATTTTCAATCTGTAGGCAGAACAGATCATCTGAGATGCTGGGCTGTACGAGGAGGAATGTGGCATCAGGATTGGTGGAGGAATCATAAACAACCTGCGTTATGCAGATGACACAACCCTGCTTGCTGAAACTGAGGAGGACCTGAAGCGCTTGCTGCAGAAGGTCAAGGATTTCAGTCTTCAATATGGATTGAATCTCAACATCAAGAAAACAAAGATTCTCACCACTGGGCCAATTGGCAGCATCAGTATAGATGGTGAAGAGATTGGGATAGTTAACAGTTTTAGTTTACTTGGTTCCACAGTCAACTCTTGGTACCAGCAGCCAGGAAATCAAAAGACGAATTGCATTGGGAAAGTCAGCTGTGAGGGACCTCTCAAGAGTACTGAAGAGCAACGACATCAGGCTGGAGACTACGGTGCGCCTGATCCAGGCTATAGTCTTTGCAATTACGTGCTATGCATCGGAGAGTTGGACAGTGACTAGGGAAGATAGAAAGAGAATTGGTGCCTTTTAGCTGTGGTGCTGGAGAAGAGTGTTGAATATACCATGGACTGCTAGGAGAACACACAGGTTTGTCTTAGAGAGGGTGAAGCCAAAATGCTTCTTGCAGTCAAGGATTCTGAAGCTTTGTCTAACATACTTTGGGCATGTTGCAAGGAGGGACTGGTCCTTGAAGAGGGACATCATGTTTGGGAGAGTGGAGGGACTGCGCAGGAGGGGAAGACCCTCAATGAGATGGATCGATTCTGTGAGTGGAATGGTGGGAATGAATGTGTTTGAGACGGTGAGGTTGGCACAGGATAAAACGGCGTTTAGGGCTTTTGTACATAGGGTCGCTATGAGTCTCAAGCGACTCGATGGCACATAACAAAAACAACAACAACAACCACCATGGAGCCACAATTTAGTCATAGCTGACCCTCCAGCAGGTTTCCAGAGGCAGTAAATCACATGGGAAGAGAATACTCATCTTTCTCCCATGGAACAGTTGTGGGATTTGAACCACAAGACTCTGGGTTTACAGTGAACTCCTTACCAGTAAGCCATCAGAGTTCCCTAATCATCTGTTAGGTAATTGTAATACTATGTAAAGGATAAGTTAAAATTATTTCATGTGAAAAAACCACTTGGACACATTATTTAAAAATTGATTTTAGAAATTTATTTACATATCTTGGAAGGAAGCAATTGATACAGTTTACCCGGAGCTCCTGGAGGGGAAAAGAAGATTTTTTCAAAGGTTAAAGTGTTAATTAAGTTTTAGAAAATAAAATAAATGTATTCCCTGACAAAGTTGTTTCCATATATACTATATAGATAAATAATATGAATGAAATAATAATAAAAATGTTATTGAAAGTGCAAAATTCCAAATGATTCCATGATGTACTAAATTGAATCCAAATCTTACAAAATTAAACAGTTTTCAATTTTGTTTAATTCACTGCAATATACTATACATACCTTTTATTTTAGGAACTAATGCTCTACCTCTGGGATTAGAAGGTTCTTCATAAGTAGCAGAGCTGTCGAAGTGATATTTCTCCCTTTTTGAGATGTAAGCCTTGTTTGATAGTTCACTATGCGGATTACAGACTTTATCAGTTAAGTTAAAATACTCTCGTTGAAGATTCCGCAACTCAAATTCCAAGGTATCCCTTTCATTTTGTATACTCCTTACATAGTTTTCTAAAAGGATTTTATCTTCAGTAAGCCGACTGATGCTACTTTCAAATTTCATAGTTTCTTGGCTATGTTTCTTTAGTTCTTCTTTTAGGATCTGATTGTCTGTTTTAATTTCTATTACCATTTTTGATAACATTTCACACTCCTTTCCCATTTCTGATAAACTATTCTTATAAATACTTGCTTCAGATTTCGCATTTTTAATTTCTTTCAAAAAAGACTCTTCTGCAGTAGATTGGTAGGTCTGAATCTTTTCCACTTCTCTTTCCATCATCTGTCTAGCAGCGGTAGATTCTTGTAATGTTGCTTCAAGGTCAAATTTTTCATTTTTAAATGCTTCAATGATTTGAAGAAGTGTCTCTTGTTCAGTCTTCGCCAATCTTGTTTTCTCTTTTAGTTGCACTATCTCTACCTGATTTTCACTGAGTTCTTTCTCAAGTGAGCTTTTGTCCTTTAGAAGCTGTGATGTGTTTTTTTCTAACATTTCTTTTTCATCTTGCAGCAACAGAATATTTTTTTTCATTGATTCCATTTCTAGTCTCATTTGGTTATTTTCATTATTGACACAGGCAAACTCATTTTGTGTTTTGTGCTCCTTGATTTTTAGTTGATCTAGTGTTTCAGTCATTTGCTGTTTCTCCATAGAAAGCTGAACAATTTTTTCCTCCAGGGTTTTATTTTGGCACTGAAGGACGTTCAACTTACTGATGATTTTTTTAAATTCATTCAGACATTCTTTTTTATCTTCTTCTGCATTAATTAGCCTGCACTGGCTAGTGTTCTTGTCTTCAATCAGTTTTTTAAATTGCGTTTCATATGTTCCAATTTTCTGAATCAGAGATTGTGTGGTCAGGACTAACAGTTTTATTTTGGCTTTAAGGGTTAGATTTTCATTCTCTAGCTCTGTGACTTTTCTCTGTATCTGCACAGACTCTTTTAAGTAATTCTGTAAGTAATGGATTTTTGCAACACACTGCTCGGTCACAGGGTTGAGTTTAGATGCTTTTTCATTTTCAAATATTACTGATCCCTGTTTCATGGCAAATGATTGTCTTTCTTTGTCTTTCATTTTATGTTTTGTTTGGTCAAGGAATGACAGGGTGTCTCTTGGGACTCTGCTGTGGAATTTTAAATCTGTAATATTCTTGCTAGTGATAGGAATTTCCACATTATTTTTCTCGTTCCTTTTCCCCCTGTATATTTCACCCTTAGGTAATTTTTTACATCTCCTACAAAAAGTCACATGGACTTTTGGCACAGTTTCTCTAAGTGGGAGTAATTTGTATACTAAAGTTTCTAATTCTTTAATCCTTTTTGATTTTTTATCTTCACTTAAAGTACTGTCCACACTTTCTCCCTTCATACAGTTAATTTTTTCCCTGTGAATGGGGGACAGTTCATATTGGCCATTACTCTGAACACTTCTGTCAGTTTTAAAAGTTTCAAGTTCACTAGTAAGTTCCAACTCCCTGTCATGTGACTTCTGGAGCTCTTCCTTCATTTGTTTGATAGAATGGCAAATATTATCTAAATTGTCACAAAATCCATGCTTGACACTAGGCATAGTGATTGTGGATTCACCTAGAAGAGCTGCATTAGCCTGAGACACTCCATTTTGAGGTGGGTTAGGTAGAGAGCGGTAAAGACTATGGTAATTCTTCAGCATGTCAGTATTTCCTGAAGAGCTCGTAATTATGGTTGAGGATGCATTGTCTGCTGACATTCTCAGAGTCAGTGTGTCCTTCAGATGTATCTGAGATGGAGTGTTTATGCCTTGAGAGAGACTGCTAACACTGCTGAATTTTTCTTCCTTTGACAGGAGAGAGCTGGAATCCTCGAAATGATTCATTTTCTCCACCGAAAAGGTTTCTTCTTCATTCTCTATAGGCTAGTAATAATAAAAAAAACCCCACAAATTACAAATCTACTCACAATTATTAAATAATCAATGACATAAAAAAATCTTACAGGATTCATTTATGCAACTAAAATGAGCATTTATCAAATTCTAGAGCAAAGAAACATAAACAAGTTTGATTTCTTTCTTCCCAGAAAGCAATAGTTGTTTTGAGAGCTCTAGATCTGTTTTGCACAGTCTGCTTAGAAATTGCACTTATTTCCTTTGGGTGTGAGGTTCATGGGTCTCAATTTCAGAAATTTCTGAGTTATTTGTTCAACTGCGTTTGCATTCCTAGTCTCAAGATGATTCTGTTGTTGTTGTGTACCCTTGCGCTGGAAACAACCCATAGCTGACCCTTCGGCAGGTTTTCAGAGGCAGTTAATCGCATGGGAGGAGATTGCCCATGGATCTGAACTACATGCCTTTGGGACTGCAGCACAGCATCTTGCCACTAGGCCAGCATTGTCAGTATCACATGTGAGTTCTAATCAGCATGTATAAGGGAACTCTGGTGGCCCAGTCAATCTTAACAATAGAAAGAACTTTTAAATGGTCAGATAGATGACAAAATGACCTCTTAAAAATTCACGTAGGAATCTCTAGCTGTTAGGATTAAATCTTAAACCCCTTAAAGATTCTTCTAAGAGAAACATGAACATTGTGTACATATGAAGGTAAACGCACATCTTTTAGGATTTTCAGGAAAGGAATTTCCTTACTTCCATCTCTGGCTGTCCACTCTTCCTATGAAGAAAGAGAGAGTGTAACAGTGAAGACAAAGTGATTGCAGTGACATTTGTTTAATAAGTAAATATAAAAATAATTTGTACGAAATAACGTACCAAAGAATTCTCAATTCGTGTGCTGAATATTAGATTTTTTTCTGAGCTGTATTGTGGATTTTCCACTTCAATAATACTCTTGTTCAGTATTTCACTGATTTCAGACTGTACCTTCAAAAGATAAATTCAGGAAGTTATCTTTTGACTTATAAATGTACAAGTATACAGGAGTAACAGATAGTGTAATTCAAAGATGAAAGTCACTTTTGCCAAGTCCATCATGACTCAGAGTGATCCTGCATTGTGTTGCTGAGGCTAGGAGTCCTAATGGGACGAGACTGCCCCTCATTCTCCAGAGGAGCAGCTGGCGGATTTGAACACTGGAGACACATTATCATCTGGTTAGTAGTTGGTGAAAAATGAGTTGGTCTACTCCCACTAAGAAAGCAGCCTTGCTAAGGGGAGAGTCATCAGGAGCTGAAATAACAACAGTAGGTTTCATCTTTGTATTCTTCTGTTACCCCCCCTTTTTTTTTCCTGGATAAAAGTTCATGTGTGATACTGATTACATGGAGGGCGACTGACTCATAACTAATTACAAGAGTCCATTCCTATGTGCAGTAATTGGGTCAGGTATTACATGAAACCCAATTTAGGTAAACTGGAATCTGTTCTAGGACCACAGAATAAAGTATTGTGAGAAAAACACATATTCTTTTCTCTGCCTTACTTGGACTTGAAATGATAAAGGCTCAGAGCTTCCAACAGCCTTCTCCCGCACCCCCCCCCCAAAGAGTCCAGGAGTCTATTGGAAGGTAGAGTGAAGATATGGTGGGAGACTTGGTCTTAATGACACGTTGCTGTTGTTTATTGTCGAGTTGGAACAGACCCATAGTTGACTCTCCAGCAGATTTTCAGAGGCAGTTGATTGCATGGGTGGTGATGGCCCATCTTTCTCCTGTGAAACAGCTGGTGGATTTGAACCTTGTATCTTTGGGTTGCCAGCTCAATTCCTTACCATGAGTCTGCAACAGCACCCTGATGACATGAACCCTCATTCTATGAATAAAGCCATTCCTGAAGTGAGCTATTCATATGTTACTTGAGCTAAACGATTACATTTTTATCTCAACCAATTCTGAATTAGATTTTATACAGCTTATAAGGAAAGAATACCTATGTGTAGACTAGTATACAGGTAACAGTTTGAATGTTTATTTACTTTTTTTAAGGATGAAAGAAGAATTGCTGATTTTTTCTCCCCCCCTTATATTCTTTTTTGGAATTATTATTAATTTCAATGAAAATTTACAGAGACTTGGGGTTTCCATTCATTAATTGCTGTACTTTTCTCTCCTCCCAACCCTCTCCCCTAATACACTACCCTCTTGGAAAAGTAAAAGAAAAATTCTTTCACTGTTTTACAATCTGTGCCCCCAGGTCTACTCCACCATGCAGCCTTCACTCTGGACTCCTGTCATGACAAAAATACCTAATCACATATCCCTTTTAAACAGTTTTCTCCCTCATCTGTTTCAATGCAGCATGCAGTATTGAACCCATCTTTCTCAGTCTCCCCCCAACCCCAAGGTCAGTCCTGTTTTACAACAGTGGCACCATGCAGTATTTGTCCTTTTGTGACTGAGATACTTGGCTTAGGATAATGTCCTCCAGGGTCACCCATTTTGAATAATATTGCATGAGTTCCTTGTTTTTCAATGCAGTGTAGTATTCCATTGTGTGACTATACCACAGCTTCTCTATCCATTCGTTTGTTGATGGGCACTTAGGTTGTTTCACATGGGTGTGTATATATCTGCTTGAGTGGCAGTTATGGTCTCTTTGGGAATATTCCCAGTAGTGGAATTGCTGGGTCAAATGGTATCTCTATTTGCAACTTTTTGAGAAAGCGCCAAACCGCCTTCCACAGTGGTTGCACCATTTTACACTCTCACCAACAGTGAATAAGGGTTCCAGTTTCTCTATAACCTTGCCAGCATTTGCTGCTTGCTGTTCTGTTAAATTCTGCTCTTCTGACTCGGGTGAAATGATATCTCATAGTTGTTTGAATGTTTATTTTTAAAAGAAACATTTCTTTTTGGATTATATACAAACACAAGTATAACAAAGAGAAGATAAAACACATTTTCTTCCTCAAAACAAATGTTAAGCCTAGAGTCTGTAGTGACCACACTGAATAACAAATCAATATTCATTAACCAGCTAATTGTGAATTCCAGCCTAGAATACTGGGTTAGTCTGTCAGTTTGGATAGTTCTTACATAAAAATTCAAGCAGGACCTCTGGTGGCCTAATCTGTACAGAGCGGTGCTGTTAACCCAAAGTCCTTGCCTCTCTGAGGTTGCAAACCAGCAGAAGCTCTTTGGGAGAAAGCTGAGAAATCTCCTAACATAAGATTTACAGCCGTGGAAACTCAATGGAGACTCATCTATGAGTCTATTCCTATACTATGGCTACAAGAAGAAGAATATACATATTAAAACAACTTACCATGCTAACATTCTGTAAAGTCTGTATTCGGAGAGCTTGAAATGATTCCAGTTGGTGCTGAAGAGCCTGTACAACAAAGTTCAACAAGGTCCAGAATGGGATATTTGTAGGCTGGCAAAGCTGCTGGAATTGTTACGACTTCTTTACATCCTCAAAAAGAACCAACCTATTTATTGTTGGAAAGGATCACATGAATGTTGGGTGACTCACACTGGATAACTGATTTCCATTGATTTTTCTGGAAATCAGATGGAGGAACCCAGGTACATTTAGAAAGCATTTGTTCTGGAAAAGGGCAACTCTTCCACAGGTTTTTGGAGGTAAGACAAAGAAATCTACTCACTTTCAATGCTGATTGTGGTTGAACTTGATTTTCTGATTCTGTTTTGCAGCTGTATTCTAAAAAAGCAAAATTGAAAAACCATGTATTTTAATAACTTAGTTATGTTTTTTGGACAATGACCAAGGAGGATAGGAGAATTGATGCCTTTGAGCTGTGGTGCTGGAGAAGAGTACTGAGAATACCATGGACTGCTAGGAAAACAAACAGATTTGTCCTGGAAAGGGTTAAACCGGGTGGCTCCTTGGAGGCAAGGATTCTGAGGCTCCGTCTAACATACTTTGGACATGTTGTGAGGAGAGACCGGTCCTTAGAGAGGGACATCATGCTTGGGAGGGTGGAGGGACAGCGCAGGAGGGGAAGGCCCTCTATGAGGTGGATTGATTCAGTGACTGGGATAATCGGGATGGGTGTGTCAGAGACAGTGCGATTGGCACAGGACAGAGCAGAGTTTAGGGCTGTTGTACATAGGGTCGCTATGAGTCGCAAGCGACTCGACGGCACAGAACAACAACATACAGGTGACAGCTGGATAATGAATAAGGAAAACTGAAGATTTGATGCTTTTGAATTAGTGTTGGTCAATAATATTGAATATACTGGGGAGTGCCAGATAAACAGCAAATCTATCTTGTATGATCTGAGCCAATTTAAGCCAGAATACGCTATGCTAAGTAATGCCTGGTATCCTGGGAGCTCTGGTGGCCATGAGAAGTTGCACTGCTAACCCGGAGGTGGCATCTCTTTAGGGGTTCCAATTCACCAGCTTCTCTGCAGGAGAGAAATGGGCAATCTCCTCCCATGCTATTCACAGCCTCTGAAAAACCTCTGAAGGGTCAGCTACGAGTGGGTTCCAAATGGATATCCTCAAAACCTCCACGCTGAAGAGCTGCCATGTGCACCTGATTCCCCTCTCCACAGCATCATGCTGAAAATCTCAACTCCTCTGCCCCAAATGTCATATTATATTAAATGTAAATTTTCTACTGATTCATTTTTAAGTGACCAAAATAAAAAAAAAGTCAAGATATTTAACAATCTGGTAAGTTATGAAGCAGTTAAAGGGAAAACACGGGAAGTTTATTCTGATGTGTACAGAGAATGTTGTTGTTTTTGTCAGGTGCCGTCAAGTTGAGTATGATTCGTAACAACCCTATGAACAACAGATCTGAACCCTGTCCTATCCTAAGCCAACTTTGCAATCACTGACACAGAGTTTAAACTTGTAGCTCATAGATCAAGAATAAGAAATGAGTTTAAAACTGTAACATGGGGATGGTTGTATATAGGATGGTAAACTCTTATGTAGTAAAAAAAAAAATAATATTCAGTTTCACATAATGAATTCTGCAATTGTAATTCAAATTAATTCCTGGAAATTCCTACTTTTAAAGCCTTGTGAGGTACGCTGCTGAGTGAGGCGTCGTCACAGTGATTGTGACACTGACTGGGTGACGACTTGGTCTGTCCGGCTGGAATCCTGGAGCTGTCACACACATACCCTGTGGCAGGTCTGTGGAGACCAGTATTGTATGGCACAACTTCCAGATTGAAGCTGAGTTATTGGCTCCGCGCTAGGGATAAAAACGGACATGCTGGTATATCTGAATTGGATGACTTCAGACCTCAATTAAAATTCCATTTTTAATTAAGCTAAGTTAAACTATTTCTACTTTTGTAAAGAACGAGAGCTCTCTGATGGCTCTACAGGGAGCTGGGTTGCTAACCCCAAAGCTGTGTCACTCTGGTGGTTTGAATCCACTTCCTAGGGAATAAGATGGCCAGGCTCTACTAGTGTGATTTAATTCCTCAGAAACCCCCTGAGAGTCAGCTATGAATTGGTTCTGACTCAACAACCATGAAGGTGGGTGAAGGAAGACAGGTCACAAAGAAAACAAGTGTCAGGATTTCAAACACAGATAGAAGTGGGGAAATATTGTTGCTAAATGACAGAGACACTGTATCAGAAGGAACTGGCTGACAAAGAATAATTGCACGAAATAACTTATGAGCAAGAGCCTGTGGTGATGAGGGAGGAAGTTCAAGTTGCTCTGAAGGAATTGCCAAAAAACAAGGCTCCAAGAGTTGACAGCATACCAATTGATTTATTTCAACAAACAGACGCTGCCCTGGATGTGCTCACTAAGTTGTGCCACGAAATCTGGAGGACAGGCAGCTGGCCAACTGATGGGAAAAGATCGATATTTGTTCCCATTCCAAAGAAAGTGTGGAAATTATCAAACAATATCCTCAATATCACGTGCAAGCAAGATTCTGCTGAAAATTATGCAGAAACATTTGGAACAATATGTCAACAGAGAACTGCCAGATGTGCAGGCTGGATTTAGAAGTGGTAGTTGTACTAGGGATATTATAGCTAATATTAGATGTATCTTGGCCGAAAGCAAAGAATGCCAGAAGAATGTCAATGTGCTTCATTGACTTTGCAAAGGCTTTTGACTGTGTGGATCACAACAAGCTGTGGCTGACTCTGAGAAGAATGGGAATCCCAGAACACTTGATTGTGCTTATGCGAAACCTATACTTGGACCAAGAAGCAGTCGTCAGAACAGAGCAGGGAGACACTGGATGGTTCAAAATCAAGAAGGGATTCCGTCAGGGATGTATTTTGTCCCCATACTTTTTCAATCTGTATACCGAACAGGTCATCTGAGACTGGGCTGTATGAGGAGGAATATGGCATCAGGATTGGTGCAAGAGTCATCAACAACTTGCATTATGCAGATGACACAACCCTGCTTGCTGAAACTGAGGAGGACCTGAAGCACTTGCTGCAGAAGGTCAAGGACTGCAGCCTTCAATAAGGATCGAAGGTCAACATCAAGAAAATAAAGATTCTCACCACTGGGCCAATTGGCAGCATCAGTATGGATGTTGAGGAGATTGAGATAGTTAACAGTTTTAGTTTGCTTGGATCTACAGTCAACAATAGTCACGATAAGTATGTCTCACATCTTAGGTCTACACTCTGAATTGCCTGGAACCGTTAAGAATTGGACTTCTGTGAGCCACTGGGACTTGCATTTGCTGATTTTCAGAGGCAGACTGCTAGAACCTTCTTTTTAGTCTGTCTTTGGAAGATCCACTTGCACCTGTTGACATACTGACTAAAATGGTGGCTGCACATGAGATACACTGATAAATACTTGAAAGTGGGTCTCTCATCTGGAAGGCAAGAGCTCTGCCACTCTTCCTTGTATAAAAATAATCATATTATTGGAAGGCACTGTGCACTGTAACTACACTTTTTTTTGGCAGGTGATTGTAGGTAATATGCCTGCTACCTGGAATAAATGACAGAAACATCATCAGGCCTTGGTCTTGGAAATCTTACCTGTTTCACTGCCAAGACTTTCCCGTAAGCCCTCAGAGGAATTTAGGATCTTGGATGCTGAAAGGAGAACAGCGTCAAAATCACTGTCTTCCTTAGGATGATGTTCATCTGTAACAGAAAGGGTACATCTGCTTTGAGCTCTATCAGCAGCAGAGCTGGCATCACAGGAGGTGGGCATGCAGATCCCAGAGGTGGCGCCCTAAGCGGCCACAGGGGGGCGCGCTGGGGCCACGGAGCAGCGGCAGCGGGACTGGGGTGGTGGTGGGGTGGACGGGAGTGGAAACCTGGGCACGAAGTCCCAGCAGTGCGCGGGTGGAGAGGAGGCTAGAAGGGTGAGAGGAAGACTGAAAAATACAAGGTGAGGCCATTCGCGCAGATCCCCGGACGGGGCCTGGGAACTTCTCGAGGTTTACGAGCCGATGGGGCCAGGCGGCGGCGTTCCCCATCATGCCCACGCTCCCACGGCTCCCCCGCGAGTGAAGGTCTCGGCCAGCTCTTACCAGGGATCATTACTGATGCTTAAAATCTTCCTCCTCAACTGCCTTCCCCCCATGCATTCGGCGTAGTCGCTTCCGGTGCGGACATCCCGTTGCTTGGTAACAGGGTAGTACCCGCCCGCGCTCTGCACGAGCATTCACTGTGGGTGAGGCTGCAGGAGGCGGAGGTGCGCGGATCCGGGTCAGGGCGCGCGCCCTGGGCGAGGACTGCCGGGGACGTCTGCGCAAGGAACAGGCCGTGGCTGCTGTGACCATCCTCCTTGAGCGCTTTTTCTGCAACATCTTCCCTGCTGACCACGAGGATCTGGTTCTTGCCTATGCTCGGACTGAGGAGAATAGCTTTGAAGCAAGCTGTTTGGAGAAAAGGGAATGATCAGAGATGGGCAAACAACCAGGAACATTTCCCTTCTCTCTGCTAACCATGTCATTGGGATTTACACGGTCTAAGATCAATGTTTCCACTAATATTAAAAGAGTTTTCTTGGCCAATGACACCATTTTGTTCAGCAGTTGAATGAATGTAAATATTATGTTTAAATTCAAGTTTATATAAAAATTGAAACATAATTTAAATGTTGTTATTGTGTGCTATCTAGTTTTCAGGGGCTGTAAATCTCATGGGAGAAGGTTGCTGATCTTTCTCCGTTGGTGATTTCGAGCCCCTGACCCTTAATACTTTTTTTACTTTACTATGGTTATGGGCCAGTGGAGCCAGAATCAACTAATATTTGACCCTCCGGCGGGTTTTCAGAGGCTGTAATTTCTTTAGCGAATATTGTCTATCTTCCTAGATTCCAGCTGCCTGTTTTTGGATTAGCAACACTCCTTTTTATCACTAGGTCACCAGAGCTACAATAAAAATAACGTAAAATGCAAAAATGAAAACTATCTTCATTTGTCAAACCATACTGAGTATTGATGCACCTGGATGATATTTTTTTACCTTTCAGTCAGAACTAACTCATACAGGTGACCCTGCAGCCAGTCATCTTTCTCCCATGAAGCAGCTGTGGACAGCTGTGGATTCAAACCATGTGGATTCAAACCATGAGTTTTTGAGTTGTCAGCGCAGCTCCTTACCACCAGGCCACCAGAACTTCCTTAAAAAAAAAAAAAAAAATCAATGTTGCACTGGAAGCTGGAGTAAGATTAATTAAAAACTTGTTGGCAGCCAAGATCTTGGGTCTGTGTGCCAATAAAAAAATAGCACTTCTAAAGAAAAAGTTTTAAATGGGTAAATATGCCTTATTTTTCAACAATAATTACTACTCATGGAATACAAAGTAATTGAAACATTAAATCCAATAATTAGGAATTGAAAAGAATTGCCCACACTGAAATATTTTCAGGAAGCACCATATGATCAAGACCCAATGGTAATAAAAGAAGAAGTTCAAGCTACAGAGAAGGCATTTACAAAAAATAAGGCTCCAGGAATTGATGGGCTATCAGTGGAAATGTTTCACATGATAGATGCAGGCTTGGATGTGTTCACCAGTCTATTCCAGTAGATTTGAGGACAACTGTCTGGTCGAATGACTGGAAGAGATCCACGCTTGTTTCCATTCCCAAGAAAACTGATCAAACAGTATGTGGAAATTATTCAACAATATAATTAATATCACATGCAGGCAAAGGCCAGAACAGTGCATAGAAACTGACAGATGTTGAGCTGTATTTAGAACAGGCTGTGGCACCAGGGATACCCTTTATTGCTAATGTCAGATAGATCCTGGCTGACAGTAGAGAACACCAGAGTAATGTCTATTTGTGCTTTATTGAATATGTAAAGGCGTTTTACTGTGTGGATCATAACAAATTATGGCTAACTTTGAGAAGAATGGGCAACATCATGATAGATGGAAGATGGAGAAAAGATTGAAACTATCAACAGCTTCAACTTACTTGTATTCAAAATCAACACCCATGGTAGCAGCAGTGAGGAGATAAGAAGTATAACACTGGGAAATTGTGCTGGGACCTATCTAAATTGTTAATGAGCAATAATTTAAAACTGAAGACTAAGGTGAACCTACTTAGGCCATGATCTTTTCAATCACTTGCTGTGAATCTGAGTGCTGGAAAATGAGTAAGAATGACAAAATGATGCCTTAAAGTTGTGGTGTTGGAGAAGAGGGCTGGCTATCCCGTGGACGACCAAAAGAAGAAACAGTTATATCTTGGAGAATGGACAGCCAGAGTGCTCCTTAGAAGCAAAGATGATGAAGCTTCATCTCACATGCTTTGGACATGTTGTTAGGAGAGGCTATTCATTGGAAAGGGTCATCATGCTTGGAAAGGTGGAGGGTTGGTGAAAAACTCGAAAACCCTCAACCAGGTGGATTGACACAGTGAAGTCACCAGTGGGCTGAAGTATGTCACATTATGAGAGTGGCACATGATAGGATGGCGTTCAGATCTATTGTTCATGAGTAATACTGGACTTACTGCCATCTAAGTAACAATAACAACAACAAGGGAGCTGTAGTGGCTATGTTAGGTGCTGTAGAGTAGAATACAATGCATAGGAACCTTGTGGAGAGATCTGAAACCTGTCCTATCCTGCTCCACCCTTATCATTCTTGACACACTTGAGCTCATTGTCACAGTCACTGTATCAGTCCATCTTGTTGAGGGGCTTTCTTTCACTGACCCTCCAACTTTCCAAGCATGATAACCCATTCCAAGGAATAGTACATCCTAACAACATGGCCAAAGTATGTGAGAGGAAACTTTGTCATCTTTGCCTCTAAGGAGCGATCTGGTCACACTTTCTCCAAGACATAGCTGTTTGTTCTTTTGACAGTCTGTAGGATATTCAGTACTCTTCTCCAACACTACAAGTGAAAGGCATTGATTCTTTTGTCATTCTCATTCATTGTCGCATCTCTCAGATGTATAGCCGGTGATTAGAAATACCATGGTTCGAATCAGAGCACCTTAGTCTTTAAACTGACGTTATTGCTCTTAAGAACTTTGGAGAGGTCCTTGACTACAGACTTTCCCAATGAGATATTTCCTGATTGCCTGACTGCTGCTTCCAAAAGTGTTGATTGTGTATCGAAGTAGGAGGAAATAGTTGACAATTTCAAGCTTTTCTTCATCTTCCATGATGTTGCCTAATGGTCCAGTAGTGAGGGTATTTGTTTTCTTGAGGTTGAGATATAATCCATAATGAAGGCTGTAGTCCTTGGTCTTCTGCATTAAGCACCTCAAAGTCCTCATCACTCTCAGAAAACAAAATTGTACCATCTACAGAATCCAACTTGTTGCTGAGTCTTCCCTTAATCCTGATGCCACATTCTTCTTCATAGATTCCAGCTTCTTGAATGGTTTACTCAGCACACAGATTGAACAGGTATGAAGAAATTATGTAGTCTTGATGTAAACGTGTCCTGATTTTAAAACACATTTTGTTCCCTTACTCTGGTCAGCATCTTCTTGGTCTGGACATACATTTTGTATGTTGTTGTTGTTGTTGATTGTTGTCAAGTTGAGCATGACTCATAGCGACCCTCTGAACAAAAGGCCTGAAGCATTTGTGTAACTATCAACACTTATTAAAGTTCATAGAGTTTTCAGAGGCATGTTGTTTAGGAATTGGATGCCACTCCTGCTTCCAAATTTCCAAATTTTGTATAAGCATAAGTAAGAGTTTTGGAGTTCTAATTCTCAATGTTAGCCACAGTTTGTTATGATCCACACAGTAAAATACCTTTGCACAGTCAATAGAATACAAATCAACATTCTTCTAGTATTCTTGGCTTTCAGCAAGAATCCATCTGATATCAGTAATGATATTTCTGGTGCCATGGCTTTGTCTAAGCTCAGCTTGAACTTCTTGCAGTTCTCTGTAGATGCACTGTTCTAGTGGTTTTTGGATGATCTTTAGAGATATGTTGCTTGTATGAAATATTAATGCTCGATAATGTTCGATAATTTCAACATTGTATTGGATCGCCTTTCTGAGGAATGGGAACAAATATGTCTCTTATAGTCAGTTAGCTAGAGGTCTGTCTTCTAAATTGTCTGGTGCAGACTGTAGGACAAGTCCAGTGCTGCATTTGTTAGTTAAAACATGTCAATTAGTATTCCATCGATTCCAGGGGCCTTGTTTTCGTTGATGCTGTCAATTCCACTTTAAATTCTTCCATTATCACTACTGATTCTTTAACATGTTCTGTTTTTGTTGTTGTTATGTGCTGTCAAGTTGCCTGCAACTTGTAGCAACTCCATGTATGAGAGCTCTAAACCCTGCTCTATCCAGTGCCAACCTTATAGTCTCTGACACACCTACCCTCATTACCTTAGTTACTGAGTCAATCCATCTCATCAAGGATCTTTCTCTTTTGTACTGTCCCTCCACCCTACCAAGCATGATGCCCCTCCCTACAACTGGTTCCTCTTTGCAGCATGCCCAAAGTAAGTCAGATAGAACTTCCGAATCTTCGTCCCCAAGAAGCACCGTGGTACTTCCTGAAATATTTCAGGGTTGACCAATTCTTTTTGTTACAGTGACTCTGTGCATTCCTTCCTTCTTTGATGCTTCTGGGTCATTCATGATTTTGTTCGCAACATCTCTCAGTATTGCAACTTGAGACTTGAATTTATTTTTCAATTCTTTCAGCTTGGGAAATTCTGACTGTTCTTCCCTTTTTATTCTCCAATTCTAGCTCTTTGCCCTTTGCAATATACACTCTGCTTTTTACTCTCCAGTTGTCCTTTGAAATCTTCTGCTCGTCTCTTTTACTTTGGTAGCTCTTCCCTTTATTTTGGCTTCTCAATGCTCTAGTGCAATTTTTGGAGTCTCTTCTGACATTCATTTTGGTCTTCTCTTTCTTCTCCATCTTTATAATGACCTTTTACTCTCCTTATGGATGATAGCTTTGATGTCATCTCACAACTCACCTGGTCTTCAATCATTACTGCCTATTCTTGAGATGATTTTT